AAAAATGTTTTTTTTGCCCTCGAATAATGTTAAGGAAAAAAGCACTGTGGTAGACTCTCATTTCTTTAGGTTGCTAACAGAGAAGTAACAGTGATGGATAATGAGCATATATGAACAAAGCCCAATGTTGCAATCAATAAAAACTTTCTACATAGTTAACCTAATATTTATTTAATGGTATTTAATGTGTAACTATTATTGCTCTGGATGGCAGTTAGACGCCTCTGTTAAGCCTCTGTTCACTGAACTAATGCAACTCTTGTGGCTATAATTGTATATGTATGTACATACATACATATGTATGTATTTACTTGATCAAGCCAAGTATTTCTTCAGTCCCTCAAAAAAATGTCATTTCCTTTCTGTCCTTCCCAAGTGTCAGGATGGTCCATTTTCTCTTTTCATCCAGAAACGTGCGTGGGGAGGAAGAAAATAACATAAGGAAACATCCAAGTTTAGTGAATGGCACACAAAGTGTGTCTGACTGGTTCTCAGAGTGTTAGCACTGATCTTACCATCTGGTCTCATGTGAACATTTTTCCAAATGTCTAAGGGAAGAGCTGCTTTTACTAAGTATTTACTCTGTGCTCGACACGTATTCACACCTCTATTTCTTATGATGACAACACCTGGAAGGAGTGATTATTCTCCCCATGTCACAGCAGAGAATACTGAGGGAGGCGATGGCTCAAGGTCACACATCTTGGAGGTTTGGCAGATCCCAGAGGTATGCACGTCACCCCTGTGCTGTGGAATAAGAACAAGCTGTGTTACTTGTCCTTAGGTCTTTATCGCTTCCATATTCTCCTTAGAGAGAGTGTCAAGGAGGCTTCTGGAAACTCAGAGCTCTGTGGCTCAACCCTGCTTGGAGACGGAGGCTGTTGATAGTATACAGATGACTCTGGACAGGAACACGTCCCAGAAAAGGGCTCAAGTGGGAATAGCCCTGCTGACCAGAGAAATCAGATGCTGGAATTAGGAACTATGAGCACAAAGGGCACTTAGAGGTCATCTAATTTAGTGGTTTTGAAGCTTTTGACCACAAAGGATTGCTGTTACTAATTTCCCCCAAAGACTATCTTAAAACATTTTGGCTGGTTACAAAATTTACAAAAATAATTCCATTTTCTGTTTTTATTAATCAAAGATATAACAGATGACTAGAAAATAGAGCTTCTGGCCAGCATGAGGTGACCTGCCTTTCTGTACCGAGTGGCTATTCTTCAGCCGAGAACATACAAGTGCTTTTTAATGAACTCACAGACTTACAGGCTGTGGGGATGGCAAATGAATGATATCATTAGACCTTCTCAAGTTTTGGAAATTGTTCAAAGATAGCCTCTCTACCACGAATACTTTCAGGAACGTGAGTGAATCTAGTGGTCCCAGTTGAAAATCGTTGATTCAGACTTACGTCCTTGTTTTATCATTGAGGAAACTGAAGCACAGAGAGGGGAAGTAAAATTACCAAAGTCACCAAGTGAGTTGGTGTGTAAAAGGGTGATTAAATAATAAAATACATGTGTCACCTGGGATCCACTAACCACTCCAGGGTAGATCGATTGGTTCATTCTGTAGCCAGTTCTGCAGCTTATGGAAATTTAAAGACCTTTTCATTTCAGACTCGAGTGTTTGTTCTTAGGACACAGCTCTTATCTTCTTGGAGTTTTATGCTTGCTTCTCCCTCAATCACCCCAGGCCTAAAGCTGGTCCCCATGTTCCACAATTAAATCCACTCTTGGGGCTCCTGAGTGGCTTAGTCGGTTAAGCGTCCGACTTTCGCTTAGGTCATGATCTTGCGGTTCGTGGGTTCGAGCCCCACGTCGGGCTGTGTACTGACAGCTCAGAGCCTGGAGCCTGTTTCCGATTCTGTGTCTCCCTCTCTCTCTCTGACCCTCCCCTGGTCACTCTGTCTCTCTATCTCTCCTAAAAATAAAAATAAAAACATAAAAAAAAATTTTTTAAATCCACTCTTATAAGTGTTTTAAGGGTCAACATGCCATGGAGTGGGTAGTTTCTGCCATCGAGCCGATTCTTTTTCCTCCTTCTCTACATCTCTCATATCAACCCCTTCCTTCCAGAACCCTTTGATCTGCCTGATTTCTGTCAGTGGCTGGGGAGGGTAACCACACTGTCATCACAGATTTGGGGAGCTTCTCTCTCTGCTCCTACCCTCCCCACCTGAGCAGCTTGGGCCACAGACTGAGACTCTCAGCCTTCATTTCTATCCAAACTCTGATGTGAGGTGAAAAGGGCCATGGGAGATGAGGTGGTTGCTCTTTTTATAGAATAAAGGCTTGTTGCCAGAAAAACAAAACAAAACAAAAATCTCCATCGAAACCTCATCTCCTCATCTCTAGATTTCCAATCCATAAGACATATGTACCTTCATACCTGACATTTTATTTGACCCTCATATCAAGTCCTGTCCATTAGCCAGTTCAGGCTAACATAACAAAATACCATAAACTGCATGGCTTAAACAATGACAAAAAAAAATTATTTCTCACAGTTCTGGAGGCCGGAAGTCCAAGATCAAGGTGTCAACATGGCAGGTTTCATTCTGAGATCTCTTCTCTTGGCTTGTAGCCACTGCCATCTTTTATGTGTGCTCAATAAAATCTTTTTATTGTGCACATGTGAAGAGAGAGAGAGACAGAGGGAGAGGGAGAGAGCAAGCTGTTTGGTGTCTTTTTTTATAAGGGCACTTGCAGGAGGGTAGCTCCACCTTCATGGCCTCATTCAAATGAAATTATCTCTCATAGGCCTCATCTCCAAATATCATCACAGTGGGGGGTTGGGGCTTCAATATATGAATTTGGGGGGAACACAAACATTAAGTAGATAACACCTGAGAAGAAAGGTTTTGCTAGTTTTCCAGGTGAGAAACTGAGGCTCACAGAGGTAAGTATATAGTCTGAGCTCACAAGAGAGAGCACTGGAGGAAGGCTGTGTCCATGATGATGGCCTCTCCATGGTGAGCTGCTTACCCAACTCTTCCCCTTACCACCACCTCCCCCAACCCAGGAGCCTGAAGTGCCATTTGAACACAGAGATATTTTTTCTAAATTCTTAGAAGGATGTGGTAGTTTAAAAATATGTCCACAAATTCTTTAGGAGTCCTCCCATCAAAAGGTGGAATCTAATTATCTCCCTTTCAATATGGGCTTAATTTGCCAACTCACTTCTAAGGAACAGAATGTGGCAGAAGTGTAGTGTGAGATTTCTAAGATTAGGTCTAAACGACACCATGACTTCCTCCTTGCTCTCTCTCAGATCACTGGCTCAGGGGGAAGACAGCTGTTGTGTTGTGAAGACACTAAAGAAGCCCCACAGAAAGGACCACATAGCAAGGGACCAAGCCACCTGCCAGTAGCCAGTGAGGAACTAAGGCCTCGTGCCCTGCAAGTGCGTCATCTTGGATGTGATCTGTCCAACCCCAGCCAAGCTTCAGGTTAGTGCAGCCCTGGTTGTCATTTTGACTGCAACTTCATTAAAGACTCTGAACCAGATCCCCTAGTCGTCACTCTCAGATTCTCAGAAAAAGACAAAAATGCGTGTCACTTTAGGTTGCTAAACTTTGGAGGCATCAATAGATAATTAATACAAAAGGAAAAGCATTTTATACTATTCTCAGTTCTCCATTCTTCATATAATCCATGTGGCCAAGCCATACCAACATTTCTGAACATCTATTTCTTCTTACAGAAGATAGCAATAATAATATCGTATAGCATGCCTGATACAAATATCATACCTAGCGACAACAAGCTCAAAAGAAGTGCTCGGTTAATTGTGGCTGTTTTCAACATCTTATCAGCCATGTGGCTTCTTTAGGTGAGTTTCTGCCTCTCTTCCCTCACATGAGGTGTGAACCTCAACCTTAGGTTAGTGTGCATCACCTAGCAGAGAGCCCTAACAGCCTAAACCTCACAGTTTCTCCATTTCAGTACAGAGAGCCTTGCTGCAGAGAGTGTCACTCCTCTCTCCTGGTCTTCAGCTAGCCTCCATTCTTAACCTTTCATCTCAGAATTTCAGCTTTGATGCTTCCCACTTCCTTCCTATGGTTACTTTAACTAAAGTGAGTCAGGTCTTACTGAAAAACTGACCACAGCCAGTCAGCCCCTATCCTCCCCCGGTCCAGGACTGCCTGGGCAGAGTGTGAGGGTGATCAGTGTTTACTCAGACCATTGTTTCCCTCTCTCTCCTCCAAGTCACGGGGCCTTGAGTAGGGCTTCCCCAGCTACCATGCCCCTCCCAATAGACCGCAGTCAAAAGCCAACCTCACATTTGTCTGGTAGCTTAAGGAGGGAAGAGAAGGGACTGCAGCAGTTTGAATCCTTGGGTATTCTATCAAGTGGGCTAATCTGCTTATATTCTATTCGGTTGGATGGTCCTCTGATCTCATCTCAAGGAGGATTTGGTAGGAGATTTTAGTTGTGAATACCAGTAACAATCACACATGTGGATAGGGACCATTCTTAGCGGCGAGGAGCCATGTTAGCTCTTTATCTTAATTTTCACAACAACCCTGGTAAATTAGTATTCATTCACCCAGATCTTTGGGGCTTGAAGAAGCACAAACAAAGCAGAGCAAAAACCCAACCCAACCCAACCCAACCCAAACAAAACCCCAGAAAACAAAGACAACACAGAAAAAAGTCCTCTGCGTATCTTTCTAATGTTGGTATCTGCAGAACCTTATCCTTAGCCTTGAAAATCAGCATGATCTTTAAGAAGTTAAGGATAATTTCTTAAAGGACTCAGTCTGTAGGAAGACCATGGTTGTCTTTGCTATTGCCTTTGGAAGTGAAAAGTCTTTTTTCCTCTGATCAGATTTGGAACTTGCCTCCTCTCTGGGAGAGTGTAGTTGGCTTTCTTTACCTGAAATGCAGAATTCATTCACATACTCTCTTCTATTTTAGAAACACTGAGGGAGTAATTTTAGTCGAACAGAAGTCAACTCACGCCATATCATAGTTTTAATAAGACTCATTTATTTATTAAAAATTAAAATCTGCTATGAAGACAGACAAACAATGTAACATTCCCAGAGGAATTGAATTGCTTCTAGTTAAAACTGAGTTCTATTAGAACCAACTTTAGGTTGTTATAAATAACAAGGAAGGACACAGCATTCAAGAATGAAGTGGTTGAGGAAAGAGGTCAAGGGAGTCCCTCTGAGCCACTGGAATATTAATTATCAAAGGGGCTCCCTAGTTTCTCCTCCTAAGAAGGTAAGAGTCATTACAACACTCTAGGAGCCCCAGGCCCGGAGAAATTATAGGGAGGTCAGGAAAAATAGCTCAACAGCTATGAAGTATGGTCAGGCTTGGAATGGAAACATCAGTAGACTCCCCAAGAAACATTGTTTTCCTTATATAAGTTAACAATTTCTCTTAAAATACTCAAATATCATAGGGTATCACCCTATGAAAACAGCTTACACACAGGTGAAAAAATAAATATTGAAAAAAATTATAATATTGGGCTTCTTTCTAAATAGTTCACAGAGAAGCTCAGTAAATAAATACTAATGGGTTGAGGTATCAGAGGTAATAAATATTCTAAGAGAGAGGTATGACAGGGTTCTCCAAGGAGCTGTTTGGCTCTCCCACATTTCTGAATGGGATTGTATAGATCTCCAATTTATGTCCTAGAGTCCAGAAGAGTTGCCGTCCTGCATGTTCGGTTCCCCAGCATGTTTCAGATTTTCATCTTCAATGTCATGTAAGCTTCTATGTAGTTGATGAAGATGTCAAACTCACCCATGGCTTTGTAGACACCTTTCTCTTGGAGCTGTGTAGGGAGATAAAAAATGTTTAGTGCAAACCCCATTTGAGTGAGTAAATGAGTACCTGGCTTGGATGGGCATGACCCTGGGGCCCAGGAGATATACTCGCTCCCATGTGTTGGGACATGAAGGACAGACCCTAGGAGCCTGAGGGTATTCCCGGTGGCTTGGGAAAGGTTACATGTTCTAAAGCATGGCTAGCGAGTAACAAGAGGAACACTCACTTTATAAAGCACAAGTCTACAAAATGATTCCTTTTAAACAGTTTTAAAGGTCATGTGCTCACATGACACTTATTCAGAATTGGGAGAAAAGACATTAGAGGAACAACTTTGAAAGCAAGACAGTAAGAAGAGAGAAGAGAGCCCTTTTATGTTTATGCTCTCCCACCATTGGTTTGAGCAGGCCCTGGCCTGCTCCTCTGGTCTATTATCAGGGGGTCTATGCCCCCTGATGGCTGCCCAGTGTCTGTCCCCAGCTCGCAAAGAGGACAAGACCACATGGCTTCTGGGCAGTGGGGTTGAGGAGTTCACAGACAGTTGGAAGCGTGAAACCCCATTTGATCTGAGAGCTGACATTCTCAGGCACCTTGGCAGGTGTGAACGGCAGCTGGGAAGGGAGTATAGACCAACGCCAAATCAATGAGAATTCTACTTCCTGCTCTCAGTTTTTGGGAGTCTAGGTTGAACCCCCGGTGTGTTTGTGTGTGCACATTCACGTGTTGGCTTCCTGCACGTGTGGCTTTAGTCTAGATTCCCAACAAGCTACTTTCTGTTTCCTTTGTCACTCTCCCCAGCATCTACCTCACTGCGTTCACAGGCTGGCTGGCTGGCTCAACCCACAGGCCTGCAAAGGCGGGGAGCAGTCATTTAGAAACCCCCAAAGACACTTCACAGAAAACAAATATAACCAAGGCGGCAGCTCCTCACTGGCTGGGGAGGTCACACCATCTGTGGGGTTCCCACACCCCCTTCAAGAGACGGACGGCCTGCTTAGCACCTGCCAACTTGGGGAGTGGGTGGAGGTCACGTTCCCCAAGTCCTTTCTGCCGCCATCCACTTACCTTATTAAAGGTACTCTTCACCTGCTCCACCACCTTGCTCTTGTTTTCACAGGGCAGAAATCGATGCTGTGAAGGAAGAGAGAAAGTGTTAATGCCATTGGCTCCCAGCTCCTGTGTCCACAACACTTGGGGGACAAGCTGGAAGCACGAAGAAGGGACCAGACTCATCGTGGATATCTTACCCCCACAGCTCCTGGGGCGAACTGAGCCCTCCCTCACTCTGGCCTACTAGACAGAGAAGAACCAGCCCAGGGAGCCCAGGATGAAAAGTGCTTCTCTCCAGGCGCCTCTCTGAGTTGTTTGCAAAGCTTGCATGAAAACCCAGGAGCTGGAGCTTGGAGCTTCCTCTCCGAACACCACAGTGCTGACAAGTGCTGAGCCAGCCGTTCTGTCCTTTCCTGCTTCCCTCTCCTGTCCCTCTTCTTCAGTTCCAGCAGCCAAGGACCATTTCTAAGTCCTCTGAGGACTAGAGATGCAGCCTTGGTCATGCTCACCAAAACTTTCGCATAGTCCCATCCTACAGAGAGAGGCCAACTGGTTCCCCAATTATCAGTGAGAGAACAGAGGAAACCAGTGGTGAGGGTATCACTTCAGTTGGAGAACTTTTTATCCTGGGGAATTATTCGTAGACACTAGCCTGGGGACGAGTAGTCTCCAGAAGGCCTTTCGTGGGCCTTCTAAAGTGCCAGGGAAAGTCCTGTCAATTGGGCCCCACTTACGGGCTCTGCTTTCCACAGGTAGAGAGCAAGAGGTAAGTGGAGTTTCTTCTCCACGGGACTCTGCTTCCTGGCCCATTTTGCTGGGCTCAGGGTCTAGAGCCAAAGGGAGAAGGGAGCCCAGACTGCAGCTCTGGGCCCCTCTCACAAAGAGAGAGGAGAATAGTTAATAACCCACAAGTGACTCACAAATAACAGGAAAGCTGTTTGCAAACATGTAAATGCCTAGCAGCCTCCCCCACTCCCTGCTCAGAAAGAAATGAGCAAGAGATGGAACTCTCGCGCCTTCGGAGAGTCCTCCTGCCAGTCTGTCTCCGCTTCTCTGGGTGTGAGTGAAAAGTGCCAGCTGAGCCACAAGGGGAAGAACTGATCTGCACTCACACAGCGCCGCAGCCTCAGCCTCAGGGTCTTCAGCTTTTCTCCCAGGGAATTCACGTGCTGTTTGATGTCTGGGTCGTGGTTCTCAGCCTGGGGCATCACCTCCTCCAAGTAAAACTGGATCATCTCCGACAAGGCTTGGCAACCCAGGTAACCCTAAGGCGGGGAGCGGGGTGGGAGTGAGCCACCGGTGACTGGGGAGGAAGAGCTGCTGCCTCAGCTTGAGGGGACAGCTCTGTCCCCAGGGACCTTTCTTAACCAGCCACCTCCCCCAAGGACAGCGCTTTGGCTGTGTGCTGAGTTAAGATCTTTCCACTTCTCCTTTTCAAAGCAAAGGAAGCAGACCCAGCTCCCAGCCTCCCTTCTCTGAGTCACGTTGCACCCTCCCCTCCCGCCCATCCACCCACCCGAGCTCTCACCTTAAAGTCCTCCAGCAAGGATCTAGTCAGCAACATGCTGTTCAGCTGGTCCTTCGTTTGCTGCAAGAAGAACAAAAGGAGAATGCACCTGAGGTTTGAGGAAATAACCGAAATGTCTTTCTGATGCCCTCTTATTTATAGAGCTTCTGAGTTTGAAGTAGTGCAGGAAAGGAGATTTTCAAAGCAGGACATTCAACAGGGATGGATCCCTTAGTTAAATCGGGTCCTTTTCCCCAGGATCGAGTTGTTTTTAAAATTCTGCCAGGTTTTGAAGCCAAGGCAGAAGCTTGATTTGGTCCTGGTCTCCTTTCTGCAGGGCTGGATCGGGTTCAAAGGGGCCACCCACGCCCACACACCCTTCAGTGCTCTTTGCTTTTCCTCTCTCCCTGCTGCGGACATCCAGCTGCAGCTTTGAAAGCCGATGCAGGTTTCCCCCCTGTACGGCGCTCTCCCAAACACTCAGGCTTTTCCAGGTTCTGGAAGCCCACTCAGCTGAGGCCATTTATGTTTCCCTGCCACAAGGTATGGGGGACATCTTCGTCTTCAGTCAGACCCTTTGTAATTTCTCCCACGTTTCTAAGTATAGGAGTCATAGTGCATTTACCTGTTAGGTGGCTTTTTCTGCACATTTATTCCACAGAGACTGGCCTTAGCTTAACTCACTGAACCTATGGCTCGACCTGGGACTCTTTAAGAACTGAAGTTTGAGAGGAATGGATGCTGGGGATGGAGGTGAAGGAGAAGAAGGGTTCTTAGACCTCTAGGAGAATGGCTAGTTGGGGTGATCCCAGCAAGGAAGGAAGGAAAGGAGGGCATTCATACTCACAAAGAAAGTCTTCACCTTGCCGAAGGCAGCTCGGAGCTCTCGGAGCATGTGGGGCAGGCTGGTCGAGAAGTGGGTGCAGTTGTCCTCAAATAGGGTGCTCTGGTGTCGGCTGGCTCCCACGCCGGCGAGGAAGACCAGGAAACACAGAAGTGCTGGGCTGGGCATGGCGAAGCTCTGCCTTCTGAGAGTTTGCCTTGTGGTTTGGTGTTGCAAGAGCAAGCCCCTGGTGTGTAGACCTTCACCTACTGGGTCCCCCTTTTATATTGTGGGTTCAGTGAGGCCTCCTCATTCATAAAAAGCCACAGTCACAGATTTCCTGGCAAACAGCCCCTCCCTTCCCTCGACCTCTCCAACTTTGCATTCGCTGAACTTCTTAAAGTTGTTAATTTTTTCTTGCATCGTAAGCAAAACAGATTGTTGAACAATGAGCTTTTGCATTACAGCTATTTTTAGGATGAGCTACCTCTCTCTCTCTGTTTTAAAATAACTTTCCAGCTTTTCTTAATAAAAAAAAGAAGTTGATTTCCTGGGGTGAACAGCTGTTCTGTGCATAGAGGCCCACAGTTGTGGGTTCCATTCGCGTGTTCCTAGGTCACAGTGACGTGCACAAATGGCCATTCCAGAATGCACTGGAATTGAGAAATAATTGGATCCTCTCCCCAACCTGAGTTGAATACCCAAGACTTTTCTTTGCTGAATTGGAAAGAGCCTCAGTTTCCCCAAGTGAGAACCAGGGTGATCTAAATATTCTCAAAATTCCCTCTGTTTCTCTCATTTTTATGTTCCAAGAAGGCCTCTCAAGGAAGTCAGCTTCCTACAGGACTAGCAAAGCCATGGGATGTGCTCCAAGCTCCTTCTCCAGCCCTGAGTTCATTTCAACTCTCAGATCTGTGTCTCTGCCTCCTCGGTGGTCCCCATGCTTGGGGGAAATTAGCAAGAGTAGTCCACGCTTACTGATAGCTTGGCACCTGCCAGTCACTGTGACCATTATGAGTCTTCATTTCATAGTGAGCAAATGGAGGCACAGAGATGTTAAGTACACTGCACAAGGTCACATGGGGGCTAAGTGAGAGAGTCAGACTTTGTACCCAGTCCTGCCTGACACCAAGGCCACGCTCCTTACTCTACACTGTGTAATGAAAAGGTTGGATTAGAGAATCCTTTAGTTTTTTTTTTTTAATTGTGAGCTTCTGTGGTTGGAGACATAAGCTCGTAAGATGGAAGTGGGGGAGGGAGCAAAGGTAGAAATAATAAGGAAACTAAGTCAGGATCCCATGAAAGCTAGACAGCAGGCCCCTTTCCTTTCTCTTACTATCCGTTCCCCTGCCTTCCAAAAAAGTCTTGGCCATCTTGTCTTGGACTTGCACATGTGGGTTTTTGAGGGTGGGCAGGTAGGGTAGCCAGATGTAGTGAGGAAGGTTGCTCTACCTCTAATAAGGGAAGGACAGGGGTGGTGACATCACTTGTTTGGGTATCTGGAAAGTCTCTGGGGTTCCTTTGATATGCCTTGACCTTCTTCTATAGGGGCTTATCCCACCTCCCCAGTGAAGATAGGAATGAGGAAGACCACCGCCCTTGGTGGGCAGGAGGCCTGGGCTCTGCCCTGGTTTTGCCACTCTTTAAAACCAGGGAAAGTCACTTGGCTTCCCTATGTCTGTATCCCTTCTGTCACAAGGTGGCACCAGTAATTGCCCTCTTGCCCACCAGGGGCCTTTGGGCTTCACATGAGAGGGGCTTGGGGGAGTAACAAGTGGGCTCGGATATAGGCTACCTCCCATGTTTCTGTTATTTCTTTGCCCTCCTGCGTCAGCACTTGGGACACCTCACATGGCACCCAAGACACCCCCTGAGTCTTCCCCAGCAGACAAGGTCACTGTGCCAGAGCAAATGGGGCAGGCATGCTGGGGCCAGGCCAGTTTGGAGTGAGTCCAAGGGAAAGAAATGAGGGGGTCCAGGCCCTACCTGTGCATGTAGCTTGTGGGTCAGGATCCGGGGGCTGTGGCCTCTCCTTCCAACACTTTGGAGAGTGTCAGTGCAAAAGCCTAAGAATCATGAAGGGAGAAAAGACTCTTTTAGAAACACGGGTGGAGCTAATGCAGGAATTTTTGTTCCTGCTGATTTATATTGGGCGTAGGAGTACTGAATTTTGCTGCCAGGAAGCAGAGAAGAGGTCAAGAGCTGAGTTTTCACCCCCTCCTACCCTTCTCCTTCTCTCTTGTCTTCTGGGTTTTCTGAACCATGCATGCTTTAGCCCATAGAGCTGATGGCCTCTCTAAGCTGGGTGTTCTGGGTGCAGATGCAGCATGGCGGAGTCAGGTCAGAGGATTCAAACCCCAGGCAAGGCTATGAGGCTCCTCTCCCTGACCCAGGCAGTGTAGACCCCTCCTTCCTTTATTTGCTCCCATGCCATGTGATTTCCTCTACTACTAAACCTATAGGCTGACATTGCTGCCATTTCTGTGCACACCTTGCCTCCCCCAGTCAACTGGGAGCTCCCTGAAGTAGGATTTTTTTTTTAACTATTGCTTGTGTATCTGCTACCACGCATAAGGTCTGGTCCATGGAAGAAGGTTCCTGGCCATACAGCTTTCTCTTTTCTGTATTGGGATGGGCATAGCTGAGTACACGATGAGCCTGTGCCAGGGCTGGAGGAAGTAACATGCAGAAGGCTGGTCTGGGCACTCAGAGGGATAGGGAAGCAACTCAGAGAGGCAGGCCAGCAGCTCTTACACTTTCTTCTTATTTGAGATACACACACACACACACACACACTCATACACATACACACGTGCACAAGATGGCAGGGGGCAGGAAGCTAGGTAAAGCCATTTCTATCTTTTTTTTTTTTTTACTTTTTATTTACTTATTTTGAGAGAGAGAGAGAGAAAGAGCACAGAGAGAGGAGGGGCAGAGAGAGAGGAAGACAGAGAATTCCAAGCAGGCTCCATGCTGTCAGCACAGGGCCTGACATAAGACTCAAACTCACAAACTATGAGATCATGGCCCAAGCCAAAATCAAGAGTCAGATACTGACTCTGGATCTATTTCTTTAATCCATAATTTATTAGGTAGGGTTAGGTTTAGGCTCTGACTTCTTTATTTGTTTTGGAACATGTGGTCAATTATCCAAGCCATTTGTTGAATAGTTGATCTTCCCCCTACTGATTTGAAATCATTGTCCTCTCTCATCTCAAAACTTCAGAATCTAAATGACTGGAGATAACCATAGCAAGTTTTTGGATGCAATTCCTTAATTAACAAATGGAGATACCAATGTATTTTCTATCAACGTATAGGATTGACGTCAAGCTGATAGGAGAAAATGCAGATAAATATTTTGGGAGAAGTTAAGAGCCCCTGTTTTTATATTGACAAAACAACAGGAACAATAAAAATAGGCATCATTTGGGGCAACTGGGTGGCTCAGTCGGTTGAGCGTCGGAGTTCAGCTCAGGTCATGATTTTGCAGTTTGGGAGTTCAAGCCCTGCATCAGGCTCTCTGCTGACAGCTCGGAGCCTGGAGCCTGCTTTGGATTCTGTGTCTTTCTCTCTGCCCCTCTGTTACTTGTGCTCTGTCTCTTTCTAAACAAACAAACAAACAAACAAACAAACATTTAAAAAAATAGGTACCATTCTATTTTTCAAGGCTGTGAAGATATCTGTTCATTTGAAAAGTCATTAGGATCCATTGGGAAAAGTCTCAAACTCATAGTCACATTGAAACATAAAGGTCAACAGTCTGCACATTACAGAGTTTGAGTTTGGGTTTTAGTACAAGGGAAGAGCCCGTGTAGGGGAGGAAGTGAGAGAGGAGGCCACTATGAACGATGGAGTGTCAGTCTGGCCACCATTTGGTTCTGTGGAGTTCATGAGGACCCAAATGCCACTGATCACTGTAAGCTCCATGAGAGCTTGTACCTGAGTACAATCTTCACTCAAGTCCAGATGCATAGCAAGGGTCTAATAAATGTTTCTTAAATTGAGTTTAAATGACTTTCTCCCATGGAGACTCACTGGGAGAATCAGAGGAACATTGTAGGAGAGGAAATACCTCCCCTTTTCCACTCCTCCTCCAGAATATTCCCAAATTTCTGTATTCAGCTGCAAATGAAATAAAACCTGATTAATCATGGCTTAAAAAAGAAAAGGATATTATTTTTTTGGTTTCCCTTAACATGAAGTCAGAGACGGGCAGTCTGGGGCTTGTTCAACACCCACATCATCTAGAACCTGCTTTTTCTTGCCTTCCTGCTTTCCTCTCTGTTGTTGCAAGATGTCAGGGAGAAGGAATGTAGATAAAGTCCACAGGTCCAAAGGCATGTCATCCCAGAAGATCCTAACAATCTTTCCAGAAACCTCCCCTCAGCGAGTTTCACCACTTTAGCTGCAGAGGGGTCCAGGCAGACAAGCACTGCTAATGTGTGTGTGTGTGTGTGTGTGTGTGTGTGTGTAGTATGTGTGTATATTGTGTGCTGTGTAAATAGATTTTGAAGTCCCATCCAAGAGCACAAGAACCCATAAGGAATCATCTTCCAGCTACCCTCCTGCTCAGCAAAATGGAAGCCTTCCTGGCACTGTTGCTTTGCGTCATGTTAAAATTCTACAACAGCCCTGTGGGCCTTCACTAAACCACAAATGGAAGGCTAACAATGTAGGCTTGCTGGCCTCAGGGTTCATGTAGCTTGCCTGGCAACCTGAGCTACTCAGGAGGGAGCAGGCAGGTCGGTGATACAGGCAGAGAAGAGGGGATGGTACCTACCTGGCACAGGCTAACGACTATCCTGATGAAGAATCCCCTTGGGGCTTGGCCTCTACTTACCCATTAGTAGTTATTATTTTAAGGCTGGTAATGGGAGTTTCATTTCTTCTTATTTGGGACATGTAGTATGTACAATGCCTTCCCCAGCTTGAGACTTCTAGTATTCCCTTGAATAACCTTCCTTAGCATCCTGGACAGAAGCTTCCTCAGCTGCTATGCCACAACAGGCCTGGTCAACAGCACAAAGTCTGAGAGCACAGCCCCAAGTGTGGCTGGGTGGCAGCGTCAGGGGACAGGGCCCTGTGGCACTGTCCTCTGCTGGGCTTCTCTGACTTTGGCCTTGTGGCTGGGGTGCTTCAGAATATGGACCAGGTGGATCAGAAGTTTCAGAGGAGCCTGAGTAGGGGCCGGTCCCTAGGGCAAATCAAGCAAGGGTTATGCAAACTGTATCGGGTGCCTGTCCTAGGAGTGTGGCCCACAGACATTGCAAACCACAGCGGAAGGGCTGATCTTTGGACAGCCAACGTGGAATTCCCCTTTGTGCAACCGGGGCGCCAAATCAAGCAATTTGGATTTTCCTTAGGGGACAGACACTGTGATCTGTAACTTCTCACATGAGAAATTCGGTGTACATGGGCTGGGACACCAGGTGTTGGAGCCTTTGCTCCCCAGAGGACACAGTTGTTTCTGATCTGTATGACTACCTAGAATAACTGGTGTAGTTAATAAAGTACTAGTGTAATTATTAGCAGTACTAGTGTAGAATAACTGTGTAGTTGCACAGGGTCCCATACTTATAAGGGCTTTTGCTCAGCTGTTACTGCCTTGAGATACTTAGTAATTATTGAATAAATGGTCCCACATCTTCACTTTGCACTGGGTCCCCAATTTACATAGTTGATTCTGTATATGAGACTGAAGTCATCTTTCTCTGGTCTCCCCTTCCTCTAATGTTTCCTACTGCAGTGAGTGACATGACCCTCTAACCCAACATACAAACCAGAAACCTAAAAATAACTTGCTGGATCCCCCCCTCCTTTGCCAAGTTATGACCAATCTATTACTAGGTGCTCCTGATTTTTCTTTGCAAACATCTTCCAAATCTGCTTACTTTTCTCCATTTTTATCATCATCAGCAACAACTTTCTGGTTCAGACTACCATCTTATCTCTCCCAGGCTCTAAAATAAATGCCTAATTAAAATTCCAATATCCATTCTCCAAACTGTTCTCCACTTTGTAGGCAGAGTGATTATTTGCAAATAGCAATCTGATCATGATTCTCCTTCTGTTTACACCCTTCAGCGGCTTCCCACGCTCTCTTTCTTGGTAAAATAAAGACCTGCATTCTTCACACTGTCTATGCATTTTTTTTTTTTATCATCTGACCCTCTTGTCTTGAATTTCAGTGCTCCATATTGTCCCTGCCCTTCAGCCTCATTGACTTTCCTCTTTTTGTTTTTTGTTTTCAAATAGTCCATGCTTTCTCTCCTATTGCAGGGCCTTTGCACATGACATTTCCCCTTTCTGGATTGTTCGTCCCCTTCCCTTCATCCTTCAGTTATCAACTCAGATGTTACTTCCTCAGGTGAGTTTTAACTTATTTTTAGTTGGATATTCTGGATATATCTTCTCAGAACACCTTGCTCCTTTCCTTTATAGTATGTATGGCAGTTCATAATTATACATGTAGTCTTGTGGCCATTTGATTGAGCTCCATACTTGCCATTAAACTGTCCTCCACAGGGCAGGGCTAGTGTCTGTTTTTGATCACCATTGTTTGCCTAGTACTTAGCACAATGGGCACATCCAAGGTTCTGCTAAATATTTGTTGAATGACTATGTGTTTCCTAAACTTTTTGTAGCTATAACTGACTACCTTTGTCTTCCATCTCACAGAAAGTAGAAGATGAATTCACTTGGGGAAATAGCTACCCTCACAAACTATATGCTTATTCCCATTTACTTTTCCATTTTTAAAAATCAGTCTCATTACTAGTCAACACTCATGCAGGCAGGTGTTAACCAAAGCTCCCATGATTCTTGAAGTGTTTAAAATACCGTAGAATATCAGAAGAAGGACTTTAGCCATTATATAACCCATACCTCTCATTTTACAGATGGGCAAACGGAGGCCCCGAGAAGAAAGTGACTTTCCCAGGCACTCAAAACAGTTAATGGTAAAGGTGGAATCTGACCTCAATTCTCTCTGGATTATTCTCAAATCAGCACCTAATTCCTTGGTTCAGAGGAGTATTAAATCGCTCTGAATTCTCATGACCCACACCAACACTAGAGGGCGCTGTCTAAGATGTGAGCAGTGTGTAGTTGCAATGGTGAGAAGTTGAAAGTCATGGAAAGTTTCCCTTTAAAAACCAATATGACTCCACTATGTGCTCCGCAGGTATGTAGCTCTGTGCTTGGGAACTAGAGATGGAGGCGATGGTTGCTTAGATATAGTCCTAGGGAAATAACTTGAAGCCTTAGGATATTTGCAGACAGAAGACAGTATTCTTACTGTATTTTATCTGAAACATGACTGCAATTGTGCTAAGAGGCATAGACTGGCATGTCCTCCCACCAAGGAACGCCTCGGGCACTCTCTCTCCAGAAACCTTATTCAAGAGAGCAGAGAATTGAGTATTTCCCTTCATCTTGCCTATTCTGGTCTTTATCTCCAAAACGTACTGCTGACTAAATCTTCAATCACACTTAAGATATTTTGATGTGTGCTTTAGATGCACAACTGTATTACATGTGTGAAGAGTCAGATGCTTCCTCCATCCTGGATTCACACCACTTCTGCTGTGATTGTGTCATTTACATGAAGCCTTAGGTCATAAACTCTTTGAGGAAGGGGGTGGAAGGGGGCTACGGTATCCACTGTGATCCTAGTTTCCCTAAGTCAGCTGTCCTCAAGCTCTTTGGATTCAGGACCCTTTTACATTCCTAAAAACTACCGAAGCTCTCAAAGAGCTTTGACTTATGTGGATTCTATCTATCGATATTTATTGTGTAACTAAAACTGAGATATTAAAAATACCTATTTATGAGTTTTCCAATCATAATAAAAAATTGCATGTTAACATAAATAACATATTTTTATGGGAAATAACTATATTTCCCAAGTCAGAACACCTTTGGTGAGAAAAGGGACACTGTCTGACATTTGTTCCAAATCTTTTGAAATATCTGGCTTAATAGAAGAGCTTGTATTCTTACATCCGCTTCGACATTCAATCTGTTGCAATCTATTGCTTTTGCTTGAAGCATATGAAGAAAATCTAGCCTCATAGATACACAGTTGGAAATGGGAGGACCCCCCAGGGATCCTTGGACCACCCCCTCTTTTGAGAACCACTTGCTTAAGTGTTCAACAAAAATCTCTGGCTGAAGATGAGTGGGAGGAGGGTGATCAAATTTGGCCTCGGAGGAAGGCGTGTGGGGGAGGGGAAGACATAGCAACAGGACACCGGGCCTAGATGGAGAAGGAGAAGCCCGCCGCCTCATTGTTGTCTTCCTTATTCAGAGTTTCCAAATAGCCAGTGTGGTCCTGTAGTGCCACAGCTCCTGTGACCATCAACGTATGTCATGGAAGCTGAAGTGCCTCACACGCAGGGTTTGTGGTTTCAAGTCAGAAGCCATGGGAGTTTTGGGGCTGATTTGCAGTGCCTTACCTATTACCGTAAATCCCCTTCTCCACGGGGCCCCGGGCCAAGCCCAGGTTGTCGGAGCTGGGCGTGGTCAGGGGCCACTAGGCTATTAGAGGGACTCTACTGTGGCTTATTTGGGGTTCTACTTTCCACTTCCACTTTTAGTTCTCTTCTCTCTCTCTTGCTCTCTCTGCTTTCTCTTTGGTTAGCCTTGTGCTTTCTCAGTTTTCAGAAAAAAATGAAAATACCATCAGATACTTTCCAGTCTGGTGGCTGGGTTTTATCCACCCAAAACAATACACTTTGCTTTCCACGTTCTTCTCACCCCATGCAAAGTCAACGGGCGTACACAGTCGCTAAGCTCTTCCTGATCTGGCTAACTGAGAAATCACTTTAACAAGGTGTGCACCCTTTTAGGAACTGTGGGATCAAATTAAAGCTTGATTCCTATTTCCCCATCTGACTGTGGGAGACTCTTTATAGAAGGAGTGGAAGCAGAATTTTACAGAGCTGGACTAAGAACTCCCAAGGCCCTGATAGGCTTCAACCTTCAAAAAGAGTTCAAAATAGGGGTGTCTATGTGGCTCAGTTGGTTAAGCATCCTGGCTTTTAATTTCGACTCAGGTCATGATCTCACAGTTCATGGGGTTGAGCCCCACACCAGGTTCTGCGCTGACAGTGTAGAGCCTGCTTGGGATTCTCTCTCTCTCCTTCTCTCTCGCTCTCTCTCTCTCCATGCATCCTCTATTTGCATTCTCTCTCACTCTCAAAATAAATGAATAATTTTTTTTTAAAGTTCAAAATAACATATCACTAAACTCTACAATATACTTAAGGAAGTCCAACAAGGTTCTGATACTTTTGATGTATCAATACTTTTGCAATCATATCAGTACTTTAAAAAATATATATTGTTATTTAAAAAAGTTAAGAGAATCTGTTGGTGCCTTGGCTTTTAGGTGATCACAGACTGTTCCTGGTAGTAAGGTCAGGATTCTCAAGCAGGGGTTGGGATATAAATAGGTATCAAATAGTTGACTGATTGGCTTCAAGATTCCCCGATTGCTTCTCTTACATGGCAGACTTTATGCCTCCTCTGAAGCAAAGGCTGAATCTTTGGGCAGCAAAACACTCATCTCCCCCAATTTGCCACCCCACGCCCCTGGGTCCAAGTGTTCAGTTACTGGAAACCACACGATGTGCCCTCCCTTTGAGCTGGTCTTTGCAGTAGAGTGTGGTTGGTTGTGTGTGTGGGTCCAAGAGTCAAGCTAATTTTGCCACCCACCTCTGCCTCTTACCATCGGTGCGACCTCGGGCAAGTTGCTGAGCTTTCTCCTGCTGTCGTATCTACGGCTGGAGATGGTGACTGGCACTGCATGGCTGTTGTAAGGACTGAATGAAATAGTGTGTGGACACGAGTGCTTTGTGAGTGCCTGGCACGGAACGAGTAGTCAGTACATCTGAGCTGTGGTTTTTGATGCTTTTCCATGGGCATGCGCAGCTGCTAGAGCTGGGTCTCTTTCTTTGTGGACCTGATGCCTCAGAACAGCACAAGGTCTCCACCCCCAACACTCTGAGGATGATACAGAGATGTCCTCCCCATAGTAGAAAGAGCTGTTGCCCAGGCGTCCAGGAGAATGGCAGCTAGCCCTGGGCCTTCACCATGAGATCCCAGACCCATCCGTTTCCATCCCTTGGCCTTTCTTTCTGCATCAATAAGTTGGGGGAGTTGACAGATTTGTTTTTCTAAGGTCCTTTCTAAGTCTAATATCCTAAGATTTCATGATACTCCTCCCTCCCTCCCCATCCTTGCTGGCAGGAGTGAGCCACCACACGTGCTTCCCAGGCATATATGCCAAATCCACAAGTTAGCTTCATGCCAGGCCCCTTCTTCTGGTGCATAGCTTCGACCCAGCCCTGGAAGCATCATTCTGTAAGAGAAACAAAACCTTTCCCTCAGGCGACTTTTGCGTGTGTTCACCTGTATTTCCTTCTCGCAATCCTGGCCCCCAGCATGCTTGAGGCTGCAGTTTCATTGTGAGTCAGGTCTGCTGAGTGCAGTGGAAACCAGATGACAAGATGCTGCCTTTTCCTCAAGAGCATGGTCTGGGGGGCGGCGGGGGCGTGCGAGGGAGTTGATCGCCCTCAGGAAGTGGATTTTCACATTGACTGTCTCTGGGAAGAAAGAATGTTACTGGAAAGCCTGAGAGATCGCTTCACATCTCTTCAAAAGGACCTTCACGTTCTCAAGAAATTATTTGTACCTTGCCGTAAAATGTCTGTGTCATTTTGGTATCTGCCGCGAGGCAGGCCAGTGCTGGGGAGGAAGTGTTCGTGCTGTCGTTGGCTCAGGCCATGAGTGTCAGGTAATAGGTCTTCCTGGTGGAGGTGGCCATGTGGTGATGGATTCCCATGACAGAGCGCAATGAAGCTCAGAGTTCTGCCTCAGTCTTGGGGTAGGGTAGCTGCTGGCTGCCACAGGCTTTGGGGCAATGAGTGGAGCCCTTCAGCCCCTCAGGTGTGTCCCATGGGGAAAAGAAGAAGAGGCAAGCAGTGGGTCAGATTCAGAGGTTGGGGAGAAGCTCTGGAAGATAAAGCAGGAACCCCTTAGGTGTTCACCCCAGAGGCTGAGTTCTGGGTACTGAGCTGGGACTGATGGGAAGGGGAACAGGTCATCGGGGAGCTCTTAGTCAAGCAGGGAAGAAAGCAGGGGTTTCAACAGAGGGTCCCCTTGGAGGGGAAGGTGGATGGATACCTCCGAGAGAGCGGTCCCAGGGAGATGGAGTACAGTGCAATAGGAGGTGACCTGAGATAATTTTGTCTTAGTTTGAATATTGACTAAGGCTGGTCAAATGTGCAGTAAGAGAAAGAAATCCTCCTTAGGTGGCCAAGAGGCACATGAAAAGATGCTCCACATCACTAATCATCAAGGAAATGCAAATCAAAACCGCCATGAGCTATCACTTCCCACCTGTCAAAATAGCTATTATCAAAAGACAAGAAATAACAAGTGTTGGTGAGGATGTGGAAAAAAGGGAACCCTCCTCACTGTTGGTGGGAATGAAAACTGGTGCAGCCACTGTGGAGGACAGTATGGAGGTTCCTCAAAAAACTAAAAATAGAACTACCATATGATCCAGCAATTCTGTTTCTGGGTACTTATCCGAAGAAAACAAAACTAATTTGAAAAGATATCTGCAACCCCGTGTTCATTGCAGCATTATTTACAATAGTCAAGATACGGAAATGACCTAAGTGTCCAGTGTCCATTGATGAATGGATGAAGAAAATGTGGTATATATATTATTCAGGCTTTAAAAAATGAAATCTTGCCACTTGTGACAACATGGATGGACGTTGAGGACGTTGTGCTACATGAAATAAATCAAATGGAGAAAAACAAACATCATATGATCTCACTTATATGTGGAATCCAAAAAGCCCAACAACACAAAAACAAAACCCCCCAAACTCAAGCTGGTAGATACAGAGAACGTACTGGTGGCTGCCAGAGATAGGGGGTGGGGAGGCAGGTGAAATGGGGGAAGAGGGCCAAAAGGTACAAACTTCCAGTTATAAAATAAATAAGTCATAGAGATATAATACACAGCATGGGGCATAAGTCAATCATATTGTATTAACCTTTAT